TAATAACTATGCCATTCTTTTTAAAATGTCGGTGTGCATTTGCTGTGCTTCCCATTTAAGGTAAAAAATGCCAGTCTTTTGCACTGTCATTGCTAATTTAATGGTGCTGCTCACGACTACAGTCTTTGTAGTTCTCCTTCGTGTTTTCTTATCACACGTTTTACGTGCATAGTAGTCATGAAAATTATTCGGTCATCAAACACTGCGGAAGGTCTGCAACCGTTTCGTTGGCCTTCTTTACGTGTCCGGATATTTAGAGAACAGACAACTTTTTAACAGGTAGTTGGCAACGATGAGCAGTTCTACACCACGAAACTAATGAAACAGTTGACTGACGTTTATTGACGGCTGCTTCCCATTTAAGGTAAAACCCTAAATATACATCTTAAAAATCATTACAGGGGCATAGAATGAGTAGGGATACTTCTATTATACTATGATATCTATACTCCACCTGAAAGTTTAACAAGCTTCGCGGTTGTTAAATGAAAATATGTTGTGTTCAGACGTGAGCAACTTATGAGATTTAGTGTTGCAATACCTTGGAGTGAACACACACAATGAAGGAACTTACGCAAACAATACGTTGCTTGATATGAAAAACATGTGCGGCCAAAAAAATTATATATAAAAAAAGTAACTTACCATCGAAGCTGACTTGACCATCGCCGTCTTGATCAGCTTCCTCAATCATAAGTTTGATTTCCTCTTCCGTCAGCTCTTGCCCAAGATTTTTCATAACTTGCCTGAGTGGAAAACATAAATACTATTAGTCCCCTTTACGAAAGGCCATGCTATTTCAATAGGTGGCTTGGGAAAACCATAAAATTAAGCGCACTTCACACAAAAGTACACCTTTGAACAGCATATAAAAGATAAATGGTAATTAACTGTCAGAACGTAAACCAGTATGAAGACGCAGTTGCTGTCTTGATTTTAGTAGATATACTCGAAAGTACAGTAACGTGTTACTCGACAGGCAATTGACATCTTTAAGTGCCACAGTTGTTTTCCCTTTAGTTCAAATTAATTAACTTTTAACAAGAATATGAATATTGTTTCGGTGTGCACAGGAAAGATGATATGGGAAAAAAACAGAGCAACTACTACCTCATTTCTTTAACCGTTATGAAGCCATTTCTGTCTTGATCAAATACATTGAAAGCTTCCCTCATTTTATCCTCGCATGAAGTGGGTTTCTGCTTGCTCATCATTGATACAAATTCCGAAAAATCAATCTCACCGTCAGCTATTATATTCATTTACTAAACAATTTAATTAACTTACCATTTGTGTCCACTTCCTTTACCATTTGATCAATTTCTGCTTTCGTTGGTTTTTGCCCTAAGGAGTTCATCACAGACTTCAGTTCTGCTTTTGATATGTGTCCATCTCCATTTTTATCGAAAAGATTGAAAGATTCTCTATATTCTTCCATTTGTTCTTCTGTTACACCTGGTGGTGGCTTGACCTAGCAAGGTAAAAAATCTAGCGATTAATTACAGCTTTGGTCGCTGCAGTTTTGCTCGTTGAAGTTTTTTCCACTGAAGGTTTGCTCATCGTTTCCTGCGGAGGTGGCTTGCTTTTAGGTTTTGCCGGAGGGGGGCTTGCAGTTGAATCCTCGCCTTCAAAATTCCCACCTTTACGAGATTTCGACCGGAATAACTTCAAGCACATGAGCGAGTGAATACGGTCTAAGTAAGTTAACCAATAAGTATAGTAGTCTGACACAGCTGCTCAGGTTTGTGAAGACCAATACTTATCATTACCTTAAATATATACTTTTGATTTTTATGCAATAATCTGCTTTAACGATGCAAGAGATGAATTGGTCAGTTTATTCGGCTGTTCACCAAAGATTGATTTGGTTATATTAATGAGTTTCCCTCACCAGCCATGCAAGTTAATACCGTGGATAGCACAGGCGCCTAGCATAATTTTATGTTTGTGTCTGTAGACATGTACCAATTCTGAATATTTCTATCCTATACATAGAGCATAAGGTTAAGTAAACTGTTCCTGTGCGCTCCAAACATCTTCGGAAAAGTGCCGCAATTACCATAGCCGAAAGTTGTCAATTCAACCGTCCGCAGCTAAATACTTTTCCCGGTTGCCAGTTGCTCCTGACGCTCCTGGCGCAAATTTCATCTCCCTCCCGATCCTAAGAGCTACACGCTTTTTTCTATCAACCCGCGCTATAAGATTTTCAAATGGATTTTATATGGGAAGGATCTTTGACTCTTAACAATTTTAGGGCGTCTCCTTTAAACACTTTCGGGATTATTCTGATCTTAGGCTATCCGGGGGCTCCAGTTTTGCATAGCATATATCAAATACGGTCTCACAAATCTTTCGAAAGCCATGGGGGAGTGATCGTCATCAAAATCCAAAAACACTCTTCTGATGGCCTGCAATACGGAAACTGCGCATTGAGAAGACGTCTTTAAGGAATTCTTTGGAGCGCACCGAGGTCCTTTGCGTTTCCAATTCTTGTAGAGTTGCATTATTGAGAAAGTATCTTCTACAGTTTTGGATCTGGCTGGATTTTCTAGTGTACA